CCACTGTAACCTATGTCAAGTCCTTTTATAAAACGTGCAATATATTACAGACATGTTTCCCATGGACCACGCCTATTTGTCCGATATAGTTTAAAGTAAATATACTCGTCTAAATATAGTAACTCTGCGATTGAGTTTCAATTCTGCGGTCGTGCTATCATAATAATGTATTATTTTCACGGCAGACGACTGTATGTTGTCTAGTACATTATAATAAATATATCATTGAAAATATAAGATAACTACGTGAGTTGAAGGTAATTCACCGCGCCTATTGCTTAAATCCTTGTCAGTACTCACTCATGGGAATATTGGAAWATTTCAGAATATCACGAAAATGAATTGAAGTTTTTAGTTGCATAAGTACATAGTTGAGTGGCAAGAGACTTCCTTTCTTGAAAATCATTATTTTTTCTGTTCCCTAAGCTTCTGCTTTTACTAACTAAACTTTGTAAAAAGTATCATTAAGTTTTTGACAATTTSTACAGGCAATTTACTCATAAGATATAACCGGCTGGCGACATTCAAAGGAAAATCGAACCAACCAACGCATCCTAACGAAACATTGTAGAATCTTCCTTTTCGATGTTCTCCGGCCTTTTTTAATTGTTCAGTGCTTGTAATGATTACGTAAAACAGTCACTTAGTATCAAAAGAATACTGCACATTTCATCATTTGAAAGATTAAGCCATAAACTGATCGTAGAATAAGTCCTTACCATATATCCCGGTAAGCTGTCTCGAAGCCGATCAAAAGCCTTGTCAGAAAGCGCTAGAAACCACAAAGGCCTGTACATCYTTAGAACACTTAATTTCTCCCCAAGAACTTGTGTTCATTTACAAAAAATCACTGGATAGCGTGTGGTAGCAGTGATCTAGATGCCGTCTAATAGTATGAACCAACATAGCTGCCCTCTTAGTAACCGGTTTGAGGTAATTCACTACGAAGTATTTTGTTTTGATTCGGTCGATGAATGAAAGTATCRATAACGTGTCTTTATTGCGTTTCAAAGAGATAATATTTCATGTTTTAGGTCAAGAACGAGCACCTTTCATTGGYTGACAAAGCTCTCCGCACTTATGTTTTAAAAGTTGGAGGTCAAGCGAAAGATCTCAACGTTGTCGTAGGACTGTTACGGAGGAAAACCCATATTGACTTACAGGCTTACGTAGGTTATTGGAATGTCCAGAATTTGTAGCAAATATATAGGGATCTTGTGGGACAAGGGAGTGTGGCTTTACTTCCGAGAAACTTCAAACGCAGTTATAGTACAATTCCGTCCGGTAGGAGTGACAAACGAGGGGGTCAAAGGTGTGCCTTGAAGGGGACTCCCTCAAAAAAGTCGTAGGACATTTTTTACGTAGAATATTTTTTACGTAGGACATTTTTTACGTAGAATATTTTTTACGTAGGACATTTTTTACGTAGGACCTTACTTGATAATGATGATTACTTTCTGATAAACAGAAAAATATGCGCGCACTCCAAAGGTAAACGATATAGTGCTAACGATGTGTAAAGTGATAATTAAGTATAATCAAAAAGCATCTAATTGCAGCCGCAAATAGACTGGAAATACTAAAACCTCGAAAAGCTTTAGTAATTTCCTGGTCAGTGGTAAATTGTAGTGAAATATGCAAATTCCTTTGCTGCTTTCGATTCTTCACGATACTTGTGCTCCTTAGCACTATCTGGTTTTTCACTTTTAGTTCACTTCAGTAAGCGGATAAACTAATCCATTAMTATATCAATTAATGCGATAAAAAACTTAACTTATCTATGTTTCACAGATTTAGTGCGTATTCTCGAATAGAGAAATTAATGCAATTTAATCCGTGAAATCGAAGTAGTACAAAAGGTGCTAAATTATGTTAATTGCTTTGTTTTCCATTCTCTAATTAACACTACTCAATGGTAATATTTTCACGGATTTCGCGGTCAACTCTCTCGAATAATATTTAGAAAACACTGGTTTATGATCAAGGGATTGTGTTATAAAGTMAAAGAAAGTYAGCCTCGGAATCACAAGAAGATATCAGTTTCGACGCTCGTTCGAAGCGAGTAACGACASATTTTTTTCAAAGAATTTTTACTAAATCAGCAAAACTCTGCGAACTGAAACCAAACAAAAACAATCTGAAATAACCCAAATGACTTCTTGCACTTAGTTAACATATATACACGTCATACAAAGTACACTATMAAAAAATCAGAGCGGCAGTGCTATCAAAATCCAAGAAGATGCATAAAGCTAAGCTAAGGAATATTTGTTGAATATTAGCACTGGTGAATTTACTTATAAAACGACCYTCAGGCTAAATTCGAATCACTCTTTTGGAGAATTTATGTTTACCTTTACTTTGGCGAATAGATAGTCGCTCTCACTCCACTCTCGATTAAATACATTCGTAGCTCGTTGCTTTAAAAGAAGTCGTCTAAGTTGAGATTTCTCCATTATAATAGCRATATATTTACTAGTTTAACTTGTGCACAGTCATGTTTTTTAGAACGTAAGTGTTGTCAGCCGGGTGAYAATGGCGGCCATGATGCGATGAAGTGCACAAAGATGCAAGGAATGTCAAAGAKTGTCATTAAGTGGATTCTTCTCAGGTTTCCTTTATTTTCAAGTACTTTGAACTAACGAATGGATGATTCTTACATGATTATAGGCGAATGCGATAATTAAGTGTAATAGTAATGAACTGATTATAGAGAGTTGAAGAGAGTTTTGTAGATTAAAGATTAATTTGATAGACTCATCACTTGATAGTTTTTTTTTTACTTGCCAGGTTCGACAGCTGTCCATGTAGTAAATATATATCAAAATCGATTATTGAAAAAAATGGATAAAAAAATGAAAAGAAAAGAGTTTTCAGTGATAGGAAAGCTAGCGATCGGAAGTGAGACAAATAGATTCCATTTTGCGCGCGTCTGTGCATTAATAGATACAAAGATGACGTCAATAGCAACAAAACGAACSTGCCACAACTTTTGTCCTCATCGCATTTTGACGTCATCTTTGTATCTATTGTGGTACGGACGGACCGAAAATGAAAGGGAATCTATTTGTTTTATATGATATTTTCCTTTATTTTTTTTTCCGGAGCGCGCGTAATTTCATTGAAATGTATTCACGCACGCGAGTAACACACTAAATATTATACCATTTTTTATTTAAGACACAAAAACCCACGAAAATCAATGTCAAATGGTTAAAGAAAAAACGCGCGAGAAAACGCGCGCTGTTCGGTATCACATAGATTGCTTTCATAAATTAATCCCGTGAAGCTGATATTTCACTACATATGCTTCAAAAATACCCGTGTTTTATAAGACAAAATAAGAAAGAAGTTGTCGTGTTAATTTTTGAGATCTTTCGCTCTGAAAGTAGRTTGTKCGAAGGGTGGATGAGGTATATCCACTACATAGATTTTGTTTGGATTTTAACTGCTGGATAAGGATTTATCCGATGGATAGCCCTATTCACCCTTAAAACAAACACCCCATGGTGGTAACAAATTCAAAATGGCAGCCTATAAACTCCATGGGGTGTTTGTTTTAAGGGTGAAGTTCGACGTCACAAAAAATGCGCGCGTCGCAAGTCGATTGAAAATCGATGCGCAGAAGGATACGGGCGAGCAATGTTCACAAACGTCGTTAATAAAAAACGTTCGCTAATGCTAAGATAAAGATCATAAGCTCAATACCACAACGATAATCATAAATTTAAATCCTTTTCAGACCTTGTTAAGTGAACAGTTAAGTAGAAAGATGAATTTAACACCGTGAAAAAAGGAGGTGAAATAACTTACTGACATTTCGGACGTTAACGTCAGTAAGTTATTTCACATAGTTAAATTTATCTTTTTGCACAGCTGTTTTTTTAGAAACACCGACGCAGCTCACACTAGTTTACCGATAGTCCACCATCTTTAAGTGAAACTGATTTGGCCGGGGTAGCAAGGCAGGCTGGAATTAATGAGACGTGATAATAAATGAATTATCAGACGAATAAATGAATAAATGAAAGGGAAAGGGTAAAAAAACTGGAACAATGAACTCCCATCATATGTAAAATTTCACCGACAACCTACTTAAGTTGTCAAAACCGTTTTAGTCTTCACGAGTGTCTCTTGTCGATGTCCAGTACAAAACCCACACAACTTCACACATTCACAAGTTATTAAAAAGACTTACTAAATATATATGTGTAACGCAATACTCTTACGAAGATTCTGAGCATGAATACAGCTAGTGCTTTAAAAGTAATTCTTTACACTATAATGTGAAGTTTCATTTCAGTTTTGGCKAAAGTCACGTTTCCTTTGAAATAGCAGATCACTTGGAGCTGTAACCTTATAGTATTTTGAAATATCGTTTCTTAGTAAGAAATACGTGCATGAACAATATCAAAGCGATATAAAAATTAATATAACGGTAACAAAGATTTATGAAAAGAATTGAAAATTTATAGTCCTTAGGCCAGTTCGCGCAATTATGTAGTCGGAATAGATCAACACACACAGCAGGTTTTGAAGTCTTGTTTTTTTTAACCATAGTTAGTTAGTTTATGTTTTAACTGAAGTATATTGCAGTTATCTTTTTTTTCGGTTTTTGTCTTCTAATTTTTCGCCTTTGATTACGCAAAATTAATGTCAATAAAAACAATTCAAAATTATGAATAACGTCAGAATGAAAAATGCGCAAATTGAACTGATGTAAAGACAGTAGATATCAGTATCATTTTTTTGTAATTTTTCAGTTCATTTTCAACTTAGATTGCATATTTTGTAAGAAAATGGCATCGGATAATGACCACTTTAGTTCACACGGAACAAGGATATTCTTTTACAATATCCTTGAGCACCGGTGATAATCATATTTATGATAAAATAAACTATTATTAAAAAAAGAGTTAAAACTCCTACTAACTTTCTCTACGAAGTTTCTCAATTATAGAAAATTACATACAGCAAAATAAACTTGTGTGCTTTCTTACCCAAGATCGAACACGATGTTTATTTGAGCCATAGTCGAGCATGGAATCTGAAGTTCTTCGACTTCTTCTGCGATTTTGTGTAGTTTTATCACCCAAGTTTCGCTTAAGACGACGAAGGCAGTATTTTTCGTAGCTTCGATTCGTGTCAAAGTACCGCTTATTTCCAACGACCATAAGCTCGAAAAGATCATCCATAATGTGTGTTTTACCGCAAAMCTGACTTGGTAAACTACATTAACTTTTTTGTTTCCTCGGGAAACTTTTAATGCACTCTTGAAATCCTCTTTGCTGCYTATAATGGGTTGTTTGCACTAAGCTGAAAACTCCTGGATTCCGTTGCTTGGGGCATTTTATATTTTGATTTTCTCGCTAGTGTTCTAATGAACATCAATAACAAGCAGTCATGCCATTATGACTTTTGACAATTCTAATTGACTTTTTGTTCAATCTAGTAATTTGAATAAAAGTTTCTCTCATRTATTTATGTAAACGCCAACTCAGTATTTTTTGCTCTAGTTTGTTAAGAAATTAGAATTTGTGTTGAATTCAAGTAAGGACTTATGAATCTTTGATGAAGACACTGCTGTTGGGATTTACTGAGAATGAATGCGAGATCAATCAAGTATGTGAGAGGAAAGTCAGCGCAATGATTGATTGTTATAACCAATGAAAATTAAATTTTGTCATTGGTAARTCAAAAAAGGAAATCAAGRAAGAAAAAGCATGAAAGYGATAATGAAATAATGATGACTTAACGTGAAAAAMATTACGCGAGCAAATATAAACGAAACTTCTTCGTCTTAGAAAAGTGACTGKGGGAGGGTTAACTAGTGGGAAGAGACCAACCAGAGAAATGGAACTAAACAAAAAGAAGGAAAAATAACGGAACGGATCAAAACGTCTCAAAAATTAAATGCAATRAATTGAAATATGTGAAGAAATGAAGAATAGAAACCTGTCATGTCCTCTAAGCTTTACTGGAACATTTCAAACACATTTCAGTCCCGAAAAACAATATCCATGCAATAAGTAAAGATTTTCACAACTTTGAGAATCAACATTTCATGCTTTTAGGSCAGCCAGCCTCTTCTTTTTCTTAAAAAGCATGATATTTAGAAAAAAAAACAAAAGCAAAAAAAGAGGAAGAGCACTCAAGAGAGAAGAAACCTGACCTCAACAAAAAACACATGCGCAAGTATTGTATTTGTTTGYACTTCCTTTGCTATTCCAACCAGTATGATAAACACAGAATTAAAGCGTGCGAGCATGACCTGTTTTCAAAACCAAAACCCCTTAGCTACTGTGAAAAAACGGGAAAAGTAAACACAGGCAAATGAATGCTTCTAGTACTTCCGAGAGTCTACCACGCATACCTTCTATAATGAGAACATAGAGCTTCTAATAAACTAGCGCACCGAAAGAGTTTGTTCGACAAGAACAAGTGTTTCTAGAAGTGTAGTCACTTGRTTTTAATTAATTGATTTTCATTGCTAAGCTATGATTGGTTAGTTCATCAAGGACAAGCAAGTTGTATGATCGTAGAAGTGAAATGTTTTGACAGAAACTCAACAAATTAAAGCCGATAATCACCTTAAGTTTTATCATAACTATAGCCTCATCATTATCAAATTATTTTACCGAAATTCTTATATATAGCCGTGCAAAATTAGATTAGAAGCGCATTGAGGAGTTCACCCGTTATTCAAATTGAATCTTAATTCATTCATAAATGTTCCTCTACATTCTGCATCGATGTGAGCAGATCACAAGTAATTATTTCCAATCACTTTTTTTCCCCAAACTCTAGAAACTAAGAAGASATAGCTGAATGACCCTCCCTTTCAGCGCAATTCAGTGCAGGTGGGAATTACGAAGGACGCAGCTCAACGTGGGCAAGTTAAAAGAGCAGTACTGGTTACGTAAATATTACGCATTTACAAACATACTGAACAACAACTGCATSAAGGATATTTGAATATTATAAAAGATGAAAATGATCTAAAAGTACAAATTCATATTCACATGGTCCTCAATTTCTCTACTTAGTACTCGTCCATATAAAAAAATCGCACCTCAACTTGAGATCAACTCCCACAATTCCAATAGGTCGTCCAGAAGGACCACCTCTAAATATTCAGTTCAGTTTTTCGAGAAATTACTAATAGAAAACAATTTTTTTATAACCATATTTGTATGGTACAAACCTTCTGATAATCTTGATCGTCGCCMAACTGTATCTCAAAGTTAAACGTGGATTTTCTAGGCTTAGAGTTTACTGCTAACATTCTGCTAAATTGACCTCTAGCATCGAACTAGCATGTGATTCGATAACATCCTTTCGATGCAGAACAAAACATTTTCTCTTTACTTTTCGATGCCGAGTTTTAGAACATACACTGAAGCGTTTCAACAACTATTATGATCAGTATGATCAGTTATGGTAATATAACGAGTTTATTCTATTCAATTCTAATCTTGCATGTATTTGCTAAGCTAGGGTATGTTTATTTGGTAGGATATCTCTATTRCCACTTAGTAACAAGGTCAAAAAATGAACATAAAAGTGAAAAATCATCATAGTTTTTAAATATACTACTAAAGAAAAATTCGAAAATTAAAATCGTTTGCAATCTTCATAGAAGTCAGAAAAAAGCCGCTTGTATATTCCTCTAGGGTATATTAGAAAACTCATGATGGCAGGAGTAAAATATCATGCAGAGTTCAGCATTGATTAATTTTTGCGCAATCAAATAACTAAGATCATAGTTCAGTTTTAGCCTCCTTTCCTCCCCAGTATATATATAATATATACACCTCAGCGTTGTCTTGCTGAAAAATTGTTGATAAATGCATTGGGAATTCGTATGAGCCTGTTATACACTCTCAGGTGAGAGGCCAAAGTTCCCTTTAAATTCAACTACGATTAGATTTTTGCAACAAAAATTTTCTAAGCGTTTAAATCTGGAAACTTTCCTTTTCCTATCACGTGTCCTACATATTTTTTTCATTATCAAAAGGTACAATAGTTACTGTTGCTCTTATCATCTCTCGCTTGTACGGATTTTTTGCTCGATATCGAGGATATTTCATTAAAGTTTCGGGCTTCCTGTGTTCTTTGATATATATTTTCAAAACAAATATAATATAGATATCAGCTTAGATATCATCATTTTTATCGCACCAAATAAACATTAATATTGATTATTATTCTTTCTATTACTATCAGGTTAATATATCTTGCTATTGATATCGAAAAGTCTTAAATAATAAAGTAAAGCTGTCGTTCAGTCGGCAGTCGACTTCGCACAGCATTCTACGTAAATCGTCATCGCTTGATCACTWTCGCCTGATCACGAAGGGTATAGCCGTATTTAAAAAAAAAAATATTTCATATTCGTTGTCATATAAAAAAAAATCAAACCTTACCAGATTGTCTTGTGACAGAAGTGATTCCGGTTGAATCAGCCATGTTGTATCTACAGCTTCGACATTATTTCCCGARCTAGTAACTTGTCTTTCGCTGGTAAAAAGCGCTGCTTGAGAAACAGACTTGAATTTGTTAGCCATGTCGCCTGACTGCAGCTCTAAATTCAGCCTTAATTACTGGTCTTGATATCATGATATTTTACAGCCAAGGAATGCGTGTGGTGTTGTGGTGTGTTACCTAACACCATTCGTCAGCTTCAACGGAAACAGACAGAAGAAAAACCTTTGACCTATAGCCGTCGTTCTGCCGCCATTGACATGACAATCTGACAATGACGGAAGAAACTGCTCAGATTTCAGGTAATTTCAGATTTAAGACGGGAAAAAATGTCCAATCAGGCTTWGGTATTGTGTGAGGCTGAAGAAWTTTSGATATTTCACAAAAAGAGCAAGAAAAATTGACCTTCGACATGCGAGAACGGACGAGTATATCATTTCTCGATAGTTTCGTCTTTCACCAGGTCCAACAGTTTTCATCGGAATATAACATTATATCAAATTGACGTAATTCGACTGGATCAGTATGAGCTTGCTGCTAGTTCTCAATGTTTCCTTTGCGCTGTCTTTATCTGTTGGTGTTCACAGCGGTATTTTGAAAACAG